TCAAAACCTAGCATTAAGGGCGTTACGACGATATACGAGAGGAATAGAGAAAAACTCGTGATTGGTGTAGAGGAGAAGATCTGTTTATGATATAGTTCAAGAAAGAGTCGTCTCATTTCCTTACTTCTTCGTTCTTTCTAATTCATTCACTTCAAGACTGGTTCTGAACGCCGCGTAACATCATCTTCAACCAACCTCCACCGTACGTACCTTTCGGTGCGACCACTAAAGAATTGCTTATACACTAAAAAGCTGTTTATATACGGCTTACTAAAAGACTGACTTTCATTCATTATCATTAGGCCAGCGTGAAACTAAGAAAGAGAGATGTGCCTAAGGCGGCATGTAAGCAAACTGTGCACGCTAAGAGCATCGGAGAGATGCTCGCAATTACTACCACAAGAAAGCCGCCCCCTATCTTCGATGCGGGGTTAGCGCAGGAAACTATCATGGACTGACAGCCCTTCCCTACCTAGAACTAAATAGCCTCATCTAAGATCTAAGGTAAATGCAAATCTTGCCTATTCACCCTATTCCCTATGAGAAGAAAGCATATTCTATGAATCCCCCAGAAGAAAAGGGGAGAGTCAAAGCTTTCAAACTTCCTTGTTCTATCCCCAGCTGCTGGCTTAGATGTAAAGAACTGGCTTATGCTTCGTCGGTATGACCACTGGACTTGCCCGGCGCCGCCCTTTTGATGATACACCTTGTGGTCTCCTATCCATTGATAGTTGTATACTCCAATCTTCCGACCTGACTAAAGCGCTTCGCTCGTTCGGCTAGGAAAAGGATGATCCTAAAAAGTCAGTCTTCTTCATTCGTACGGTCCAATTTCCTGCAGAGTAGTAATGAAATGATCCTAGGCTTTCGTTTTTCCTTTTCCGGGGCCCCGCTTGCAGGGTATCTGCTTTTTGCTCGCTTCGTACACCCAGAGGGAGTGAACGGAGCGATAGCGCAGCGAGTAGCTATTGTATGCATCGAGGTAACGGTAACGATATATTGATTGCCCGGATAGCTAGCCAGGCCAGCCTATAATCCAACCCATCCAACAAGCACAGAAAGGCTCTAGTAAGCGCCAATCAATCCCTCGACCCCAATCAATTGTGACCGGCCCCGTAGGCCTGCCTGTGCCTTCAGGCGAGAAAGAAAGAGTAGAAAGATAGGTTTTCAAGAGATTAGTCAAGCAAAGCTAACCGAAGTGAAGGTCTTCATTCAAGCAGTAATGGCATACCGATACAAACTCCTTCCTTGACTTCACAACTGGGTTCTGGATACTTTCCTGGGCCTTCCTAGCTCGCTGATTTGAAGGTCTATCCTAGCTTTCAATACCTTCTTCTACAGACATCAATTTCTCGTCGGTCTTTCCTGCTATGCTCACCAAAGCCATCCATACCATAGAACCCTCACTCTTCTTTTTTGTTCTTATCCGTTTGAACATCCCCGGATCCAATCAGCAGTAGTAGAGAGTCCTCTTCCCCCAAGCGTCTGAAGTCACATCCACCCTTTTAGCCATTTGCTTCCTTGCTTTCAAAAAAGGAGAAGTTCTTGTCGGACCTCTTCTATAGTATAGCACCTTCCCTCGGGTCATGAGCTGCTTTTCTAGCTAACTGCATTCGGCAATGTGGTTCTTCTATTCCATTCAATAGCAATGCAGCCGACTCCTCTCTCCCATGTCTTATAGTATAGTCCTAATCGGGGAAATCTGCTTTGCTCCATCTGAGGCTAGGCACCTAATCTCCCAAAAAAGAAGACTTGAAGAGGGCGAAGGTCTCGTATCAACCCGAATTTTCTCTTAGCTTTGACTTAATAGATGCAAGAAATGCTCTCACTTATCTTGCTGTTGAGAATGGGATGCTAATCTTTGACACCGAATCCACTCTTTTCAGGAAGCTAGGGAGCTAGTCTTTACCTAAGAGATCTTTTTCATCACCTTCAACGCGCTCCATTGCAGCTACAGAAGTAGCACTCAGACTAGCAGGGCATTCAATAGCAGATGGTCTTGGAAAGAACCTTTCATTCGATGCTTCTGATACAACTTCTCCCAAGGGGCAATCAAGCCTTTGAAAACTAGGTCAGGTCAAATAGAGCTATTTACGCCTTTGAAAGCTGTCCAATCGGTCTAGTTTAGAGAGCCTAGATTCTCTTCTCCCCATACGGATCCATGTTCAGCCTTCTTTCAGTCCTAAATCAGTTAAGCGGCACTCATCCCTTTCTTGGCCACTTAAAGTTTCGCATCTCTCAAGCCCTGATTGGCTACTGACTTCGTTCACTCAACAATCATTGAATCCGGATCCGGAAGTGACTGAACTCCCTTTTGAGCTAACTGCATCGGTTATGCCGACAACAACATATTCTCTAGCAAAAGAAATGACCTAGACTAGACTTCTTCTACCGCATCAAGAGGAAATAGGCAATCCCGCATAAAAGAAAGGCTACTGACTTGGCTGATTCAACAAGGCAAAAAGGCTTTGTCCATTTGCTTCTTTCAAAGAGCATAATTGACATATTAGAGGATCCTAGTTAGTAGCTTCGATTCCTATCACCCTGCTCGGACATTCACTCAGCATTCTTCCTACGCTTGCAGCAGTGCATTCTCAAGCAAGAGAAGGGGGCCTAGCGGTCAAGCAGGGTCGTAGCGAGGGTCAAAGTAAAACAGGAAAGTGCTAACCCCGGTAAAGCTGCATCTATAGAGACAAAAATCCCCAGAGCCGATTCGAGAACAAAAAGAGCTTCTTCTAGCACAACTGCGGTTAGTGATTCAATCACAGCGGATAGACCAAGAGAAGAGCAGTTCTTTATTCAATAGTACCGGTCCTTCAAAGCTTCCACTAGGAATGCCATCTTCTTTATGCCACCTCTCTTCCGACAACAAGAAAGCACTAGAAGCAGCAACTTTAACAGCACAAGTTCTATGCCATCACTCCCATTCGTCGCATTAGGATTAGTACGCTGATACGTGAACAACCGATCTCGCGACAACTGATTTTCTCACAGCTGCTACGATCACTCTAACAGCGGCTATGAACTCAACAAGAACACCGGAAACTCAAGCTTCTTTCACAACTCCTTCTGTAAGTGCGAATTCAATAGCAGGGGATTCTACAGAAAGGGACAGCATTCAAAGAAAAGAAAGCATGCGGGGATCCGTTAAATCAAATTGAAATACGGGCTTATGTGCTTACTAAATCGACCTTGCTGCTATGGATTCTAGGCTCTTTGATGTCCTCAGTTAAGGGATCCCATCGGTGTAGCTGTTTGCGTTTGTGCAATTTAAGGGACAGAGCATCCCGACGGTACGGAAAGCAACTAATGAAGCTGAGAATCCTTCTCTTTGGAGTTAATAGGTGCTTGGTAAGCAGCAAGAACAACCTTAGGGGATCAAGGGGACTCAAAGACATTGAACGGGGGTGCCAGATCGAGCGAGTTTCTTGCTGTTCTGTTCGTGGTTTTACACCCAGGACCAGAGAGTTTGCTTAATAGCTCTTTTACGTGATAGCTCTTTTAGCTGCAAGGCTGCCTGCTTCCACTGGTGTACGCGAGACCGGTGCCTTAGATTATATAGGTTGTTTACTTCCTGTGGTGGATGCGACGACTGACCTGGGAACTGACCGCTGGTGCTCGACGACACGGTCCGGGTTGGAAAAAGGATAAGCGACATGATCGAGGTGACGGCTCGACTACGGATTGATGGGATAAGATAGGAGAGAAAGCGCTACCCGCGGCTGACCGTGTGCCCCTTCAGCCGAATTCTTATCATTCCATAGATTTATCCACATAGGCCAATTGGATATAGAAAAAGAGCACGAACAAAGCTGGGCTGGCATCGTGCGTGATGTTGAGGGACCAAAAGATGCATTCTTATTCACTCTCAGAGGGCATTCTTGCTAAATCATGGTACGCGATCTGCCCGCTACTGGTGCTGTGGGAGGCGCTTCCGTACACATACATGGATAGATAGATCAAGGGAGCTAGCCGGCAAGCTATCGTCCAGCCGCCGAAGCACCATTTTCAGAGGGACAAGTGCACCAAACCCCGTCCAATAGGTTGTCACCTATAATGGTTTCATTTCTCATTTCTTCTCATACGATCTTTCTCTCGCCTTTACCTTCGAAGGATTTCACGACTGAATACTGATTTATCGCACCCAGCCTTCTTAGTGATTGGGCTTGAAAGTCCACTTAGTAGTGGATCGGAGACTCTGCAGTTGAAACATGGTATATCGACCAGGTATTGTGTACTACCAAATAATCCAAAGGCAGGATCCAAGACCTCGACAGAAGGCCCCTGAGCTTTGTTCTAAGCGCTGAAGAAAGGCCCGACTAGAGAAGAATGGACAGCCGCGTAGACGCCGCAAGACGAAAGATTGGATCGAGAGCTTCGGGCGTTCTCCTTTTATACCGTGGCTGCTTGCCGGCCTTCTTCCCGGCTTGTTTGTTCGCTCATAGATTGCTGATCCGGTCGTCTTGACTAGTTTGTGCTTCTTACAGACAAAGAAAGAAATCAACAGGGCGTCTTGTTGAGTAGTTAGTGAGCAGTTCTTAGCTACAGGTGTGCGCATTTCGATTGGCGTGTGCAGAACCTCTTGCCAGGATAGTGACCGTGGGCGTCCGGTGGAGAAGGAACAAGTCAGTTATAAGGGGAAACACCGATGCCACCGAGGAGGGGCAAAAATACGATAAGTAGATACATAGTTTCGAGTGTGATCAGACAACAAAAAATCAGACAATGACGGAACGGCCTGTGATTGAGTGATAGATCGATTAGCTGTGAAGGGGCCCGCCTCACCACTCCCCTTCCCTTTCTCACGGAAAGCAATCAAAAATGAAAACTCACGATGAGAAAGGCCTCCCGCGTGAACGAAATCTTGCCTTATTCACTGTCGAGTCCTCTGACGCCAAAACAAATGCATTCAAGCCCAGGAGCGCCCCTTAACACTAAGACAATCTAAAAATGCTCTACCATTAGCCGCGACAAGATCAAGCAACCCACCCGGAATTGGGTTAATCCTCTCCTCTCACCAAGGAAAGGACGCGCAAAAAGAAAGAACTCTGCTCGCCTTGCAAGGTTAATTCCGTTGCTAGACTAAGCATTTGGGCAACTCTTCGCCAATTGTAGCGTGAGTGCCCAAACCTCTCTTCCAGCGCATCCCTTATGGCACAATTAAAAGTGCGGGGGTTTGGTGGGTTGTTGTCCCGTAAAGAAGGATTAGTTGTTTCATCGAGAAGTTCCAAAATGAGTCGTCTTAGTAAAGCGATTGATGCATCGATCGTGTTTGAGGACACCGGGAGTTTACGCCGCTTGTGGGGATCGTTGGAATCATCATCTCCCGAATCTCCAGAACTCGCAAAGTTCATAAGAGAATTGGACGACTCCAATCTTTTTCTCGAGCTGGAGTCTGTTGTTTTCTGCATTTTCGAAGGGAAAAACTTTTGTTTCACATTTCCGGAAAGACCACCTATTTGTTCGTTTACCAGGTTCGGCACGAAATCATAAATAAGCTCTACCAAGGATTGCCAAGCATTTGGTACTGAGTTTCCTCCTCCCTTTTTAGTAACAAAATGAACAAAAAGTAGGACCAAACTGAGAGTGAGTAGCATAAACAAAGATGGATTTGTGAATGAGAAATACAAGTTTCCTATTTTCATAGGAATCAATGGGAGAATGGAAAATTGCTCAAGTGGGCTGGGAACTATCCCCGCTATATCCAGGGCATCCTTATAGGCTTCCCCCCCTATTCCGTTTCTGTTCAAATCATCTAACAGGTGCTCAAGAAAAGGGATATCGTTGCTTTCGCCATGTAAAGCTTCGGCCGCAACCAGAACATCTTGGGCACTCTTGTTAGCCATCAACTCTCCCAATTTCTCGCGTATATCAGATTGAAGCTCTACTATACGTTCACTGGACGGGTTAAGACCCGGAAGATCCTCAAAAATACCAATACCATCAGAAGAATCAGGAGAAGAACCCTGAGTATCGGACGCTTGAAAACTATAATCGGTAATAATAATAATCGTCGTAGATCGATCCGTCGGATTAGTAATCCTAGTACTAGTAGTACTACTAGTGCCGGATGGATTAATAGACGAAGTAGAAGCTGTATCACTAGAACTTGAGTGAAGACTATTTTCATCTTTTCGAAAGATGCGTCGAAAGTTGTGAAACATATTGATTGATTGAGACAAACAAATAAATTCCCTCCAGACATAAAGCCTGTACTGTAGGAGTAGTGAAGAATTCTAGTGAGTTGTGGTTGGTTGTTGACCAACGGAAAGCATGGGAAAAAGAACTTGACTAACTTCCTTTTTTGGAATCTCTACTATAAGACATAGTTGATTAGATCCAAAAATGAAAAAATATCTTGGCATAACCAACTATTTTGGCCATGTACCATGATATCATAATAATCATATGTTAGAAAGTCCCAGACTGTCAATCCGATCGTCCGAAATCACTGCCCGAATAAGGTCCGGCATCCTCCATTCTGGAGGTAATTGCCTCCCGCTTCTCACAACCCACTTCGTGGATTCATTAGATATTCTATCCAGCATCCCCTCAAAGTCAGGTGGAGCGCTTTCCACATCTGACGAGGTACTTGACTGACTATCTAAAGACATACTAAAATTATCCGATTGCATAAATTCGATATCACTGGACGTTGGATGCCCATAGAAAATAAGAGATTTTGAATCCATGACATAACCATTTGGAACCGTGCTCTGCTCCCCCCAAAAAAAGAGAGACTTGTTGGAAATCACCAGTTGGGTTGGTCCGGAAAGACATGGGCATTTTTAGGCGTCAGATTATTTTCTTACGATATTTCTAGTTACCTTTCAAACATCCAATTGATAGAGGCATACTTGTGTATGTTATCCCATAAGACTTATTGTTGTTTCAAGGGGGTGTCAACCGGTAATAGAATGTAGCTAGATAACTTATGCCACAGCATTTATGTGGGATTGAGTTCATGGAACACTAACTTAACCTTCAAGGTCTGATAGTGCTACAGTTAACACCAAGCCACAAAGAAGGCCCGGGTCATCCAGCAACTATGGAGTTGATTCATCTTCCAATGCCCGAAGAGAAGGAAGGTGGTAGTCTTGAAGAATGACCCGGATATTTTATTAAGTGATAGCACCTGCTTAAGTAAGAGGGTCTTCGTGCACTTGAGCTTATGTTCAAGGCGCAGAGGGGAAGATAGGCATAGAAGGGCTTGCAATGATCTATTATGTTGAAGGTCTGCCTGCTGCGATTGAGGAATGAATCGATCATTTGACTAAGATAAAAGATCTTCCGCGGGTAGAAAAGCTCCGGTACGCTGGGGGATAGGTCGATTTACCTGGTCAGATCAAATAGATAGGCAAATGGTTTTCAAAGGGATCGAGAGAGTGAAGATCGTCTAGCTATGCCAATGGGGGTAATGACACGTGGCTACCATGGCCATGGAAGTACCGACCTGAGGGACTGACTTGGAAAGGTCTCTTCTCGCACTTATCCAAGGACAACGTCTTCGCTCAAAGACTTCTTGCTTGTCTTCCCCGGTCTTTCGACAACGGGTTCAAAACACTCTTTCTAGCAGACTCGTCAGCGGCTGACTCTTCCTTCTTATTGCATGAATCCCAAACCCGCCATTTTCATCTTTTTTTTTTTTTCTTTTTGTCTGTCTGTATGATCTAGTCATGCAGTGGTAAAGGAGAGCGTCAAAGTTGCCCGAAAATGGGAATGGTAGTGAAATCCGTTGTCAATGGATTCTGTGATCGAATGCCCTTGAGGTCTCAACATTCCTATCTTCCTCACATTGAGGGGGGAAGAAGGGTGTGAAAGAGGGCTTCTTCTGCTTGAGCTGCATTTATTTTTTTGTTTCCAACTTTGTCTACATGAAGTCTTTATTAGAGATGAATTAGTGGCAAGCCTAAACCTTTCCTTATGGTTTTTTCTTGTCAAGATAGCTAAAATGAAACTCTGAACTCGGAGGTCTCTCGTTAGGATTGCTTCGCATGAGTTCTATTCTGGAGGGTAGCTGCGCCTCACTCTTGTGTCCTAAGGGACCCTTTCTCACTTCCTGAAGCTATGAGTTAAGGCATTGCCTTCGGGAACATGAAGTCTAAAGGTTTGGATAGTGGCTTCGCGTCCCCTGTTGTCAAAGATTTAATATACAGTATCAACCAATAGAGACTAATTTGAGGAAATGACACCTTGTCGATAGATCTTCCGTCAAGAGGTCAAAAAAGATCATTGGTGAAAGGAGTTTTCACGTTAGAATGTCAACCCTATATCCGGAGGTTTCCTGGTTAATAGTTCTAACGCCTCTCCTGTGCATCGAGCATTGGGAAGCTACTTGAAGCTCTGAGTTATCTTTTCTTCTCCCCTAACCCTCCTTAGTTCTTCTTCTACCGTTCGTGCCTTGCACAAATTAGCCCTTTTAAGTAAGCTTTGCCAGTAGTCAGGCTTACTTGCAATTAGAGGAGAGGGGCGAATGGAAGTACTTCACACTGAAGACTCGCTTACGAAATGGAACAGAACTCTCAGGATTCGAGAAGGACTAGGCAGGCTCTTTAGGGCGATTATTCTCTGACTTAAGCTCCGACTCCATCAACAAAAAGAATAGGCTTCAACACAGCTCAGCAACCATTTAGCTCTGCTTACGCCTCCGACTGAAGACTTGCACTTTCAAGCGGCTTATCTGCTATTTCTTCTCCCTATTCCATTTCATAAGTTGCATCCGACTGAAGCTTTTCACCGGCACAGCGGAGAGAATAAACATACTTCACATCGGCAACGAGAGACTCAAGGAGTGAATACCCGGCTAAAGGGGGTAGCTTGGTAGTTCTGACTTGACTGTTGATGACGAAATGATTCCAAAAAACACGTTTCAATTCAATTGCTGACTTTATTTATAGGGATAGGGAATCGCCTTGAATGGATCTCCACCCAAGTTAGTCGTTCTAATGGACTATCCAATTTGACAGTTCGAAAGTTGTCTTAAGCGTGCTTTCCTTCAGTTGCCTATCCCGCTATTGGTGATGGCGGTGCAACTCGTGCTGCTTAAACGAATATTGGTGATTCAGGATCAACGAATGGCTCTGGATCAAGGCAGGACGACACCTACCATCCAGTGGTTTATCTCTCTACATGCCCATGTCTTAGCCTCGGATTTGCCCCGCTGCTCTCATCGCTATAACCCAGCCCAGTCAAAGATTCTCTACATGTATGATTAGCTACGCATACCTTACAGGCCGATAGCTAGTAGCCTCGACAGATAAGGAAGAAGTGACTGGTTTAGGTTCATATACTCAATGGGCTAGGGGGTAGGTAGTCCGATCATCCAAAGAATGCCACCTGAGACACTAAGCGATCCCACCGCCGGTGAACTAAAACGACACTGGGGCTGATCCTTTCCTGCTAAGAGATGGGAGACCTAGCGAGCAATCCATAAAGTCTATTTATTAGTCAAGTTTCGGTTCGACAAAGGCCGCTCAAGCAGAAAGGGGAGGAGTTTCGACCCAATACACAGCAAGTTGACGTTAAGTACTGGCGCCAGCCAAGGGGGAGGAAGGGAAAGACCTAAAGCAAGCTAGGCCCCTTCTTCCTTTTCAGCCTTTTTCCCCTATGGAACACTCAAGTGAATCTCGTACTTTCGGCACGAGGACTTGAAGATGCAACCTTTATCGTCCTGAAGGTGGCATACTTCTTTCAAGATTTTATAACAACTGTACTAATAGGAAAGAGAATCCGTGAGTTTGCACCAGAGAAAGCTAATTTGAGATAGGAAAGGTGGAATATGTGCTTCGATAAGTTCACGTCTTTGATGTCTCCCAATGGAATGGACTTGAGAAAGCCTTTCTAAACCTAAACCCGGTTTTCTTGCGAAAGACTTCCTAGATGTTTGCTAGGTATTTCTATCAAAGACAAAAAAGAAGAGGAAAACGACTTTCTTTGGAGTTTTTTGATATCGAGATTGGCATTCAGATACAACCGATATTACCTTCGATACGCCTTTCAAGGTGGCAACCTCTATAGTCTAGTTTGTGTATAGGGGCTTCGAAGCCTTAATGAAAGCTAGAAATCTCGCTAGAAAACTAGCCATATAGATAAGGGTAAGTGGTGACAACGAAAAGGCTTTTAAGCCTGAAGGGCAGTGAGCGGGGTAGGAGAAAGTGAAAAAGAATAGTATTTGAATCAGGGCGGGCTGAGAGGGCCCTATGTAGTCTTTCTTTTCATGGGTGGTAGGCAGAGAATAAAGCCATTCATTAAACGTTTTGGAACTGGAGACGAAGAGTCGTTTAAAGACCTTTTCAAAAACCACTTTGTAGAGGGCGGACGCTCAATAGAACCATACTTTCCTATGTCAATAGAAGAGAGAAAGAAAGAGGAACTATAGATCGAGAAAGTCACATTAGCTACACCAGACCAGACACACCTTTTTTTGTTAACCTATTTTTTGACTGACCGGATCGGTCACCCCTCAGCCCCCTATCACAACAAGGCAGAGCTAACCCAACTACTGTTCTCTAAAAGGACTGCCTATTCTATTATAGTCAAGCTTGGAGAACATAGTACTAGGACTTACTAGATGACGTGATTGGTGAAGGGCGCCTAAGCGCCTTAGGTAGCTGCTATCTATCGGATCTTTTCTAAGAAGTTAGGTAGGTGGTTGAGTCGAAGCGTAGAAGGAGACTAAGACTAAGTCATCGGTCGTGCCGGGATTGATTTCCTACTTCCAGCTGAATGAGGGCCACACAGCCGTAAACCCTGCTGGAAGTGCTTTCTAGATCCAATCTCCTGGTCTTTCGTTCGCTATTCGAATTCTGGACCAGTATAAATGTACGAAAGGTGGTCTTATCCTTTTCTTTCCAACTAGTAGCTAGTAGCTTCGTCGTTGATCTCTCCTCTTCCCGGCCGGCTGTGACTCGTATGTCCAGACAACGACTATCGATTCCTAACGAACCCATAGATTCTTCTACCATTCGACCAGATCCTCTAGACTGTATTCCAATTTTCCGGCCTCGAGCAACTTGACTAATAAGGGAAAAGCCCAACATTAAGAAACTATATTATTAGTCTAATATAAAGCGCTAGCGCCCAACCTATACAAGGGGCTGCTTGCTGCCTCTATTTGGTCGTGCTGCTATGATGTAAGGTGTAGTCGTCCCGAGGCAGCAGGATG